AATAATGGATGCATTAAAGCTGCTTGGAAACATTTTAAAGGACGTTGCCAATGCGAAAGAGTAAAGTTCAGACCTTAACTTGTTTTATAAGAACATTTTATTCGTTTCAGTTCATTGTCCATGATTTCATGTGTTATGATTAATTTCAAGATCAAGATAACTGTGTAACAGGAGAATGATTCCATAAATGAACAATATAAGAAGGTAAAATTATCGCTTATGCCAAAAAATTACATGTATCTCGGAAATTATTCAAAAGTACAATTATCTGTTGATTAATTTTTTAAAATGCAATTGATATACTCATACCAGAGAAAACCGTAACGCAACTAACGTATTCGAGTTTTTAAATACAAGAATAATTTGTTTTCAATGATTCAAAAAACAAAATCTTACTCTCAACATCGGAAAGCTTTTATAACATTTTTAAACCACAGTGAATTAAATTGCTCACTAATTATACCTGTAACAAATGGAAAGGGACCAAATTTCAGTCTATGTACATTAATCTCCAGTCAATCCACCTGTGTCTTCAACTTAACCCAAAACATTCTAATAAAAAGAATAAATATGGTTTAATGTTTGTATCATGACAAATGATCCATTATATCATCTCTAATGCTCCTTGCGCAAAGCTGTTCATCTCCATTGAAAGAACTTTGATCCATTTCATTGTCATCCTCAACGGGGTCTATAGCGCTCGGATGTCCAACATCTATACAAATATTGTGAAGGACACAGCAAGCCATGATAGTGGTGGGGACTCTACTTGTTTTTTCCTCCAATGGTTTATAGAGACATCTCCAACGCCCTTTCAAAATTCCGAAGGCTTGTTCTATAACAACCCGGGCTTGACTGAGGGCACGATTGAAACGCAATTGGCTCTCAGTTAATGTTGGTGTTTGCTTAAACGGCTTCATCAGCCAAACAGACAAAGGATACGCCAAGTCCCTTACCAGAAGAGGTCCAACTTCGGAACCCCCAATTCTCTTCGAAGGCGCGTTTAGCCAGGTACCTTGATCAATTTCTCTCTGCAGTTTGCTCAAACGGAGAACACGGGCGTCGTTAATGTTACCGGGGTATCCCGTACTCACATCAAGAAATTTAAAAGAGGCATCAGCAACTCCTTGGATTACGATAGAATACTCGTGCTTTCGATTGAAGTATTCAATCCGTTCGTTGACAGACACTGCTTTTAATGCAATATGACTACCGTCAATTGCTCCTACCACTTGCGGGAACGGGGACTTGTTTGTGAACAAGCGAATGCTTTGTTGCACGTCTTGCTCAGTCGCTGGAAATTTAATAAATTCTGTGGCCCTTTTGGCAATTGCTTCACAAAAATCGTGTGTTATCAACATAGCTGTACACCTCCCAATGCCAAATTGCGGCCCAGTCGATCTATACGTGTCTCCAGTAGCTAGGCGCGATAACGCTACCGCCACTCGCTTGTTTACATGGATACATTGGCGCAATCTCGTGTCTATCTTCGCCAAATCCGGGCCAACCACTCGAACAATGTACTCAAATGTACGCCTTGATATCCTCAAATTTTCTTTCCACCAATCTTCCACGAAATCTCCTTGCAAAAGGCTCTCAAACCAGAACTGATTTCGCGGCCATGCCCACGCGCGTCTAGCTCGTCTGGCATTTTTTAAAAGCAATTTGGAGTAAAACCATCCGTTTTCGCCTCGACCTCTACAGGCGTTTTAACAGCAGCATCTTACGAAATCTTGACGTTTCTGTGTGCAGCTCTTGAATTAAGAAATAAAAAGCAATGGCCACGAAAGCCACCACTTTACATCTTGAAGCGAGCATGGTTTTAGAATTTCCTGCTAGTTCGATTTCATGACGTAGATGATGCAGACAGCGGTAGTGTTGACAGATCAACTTGAGTTATTTGAGCTAGTGTAAACACTGGATGAATGTACCAAGGTCAAGTATCTTGACCTTAGTAAATTTTTACCCAGGTAAAAGCTCAAATGTAAACACAGGGTTAGTCTTACTCAGTTCATAGAAAATACGCTTGGCTTTCTCGACAACTTAGCAGTCGTTCCACATCCCGTCTCAACCAACACGCCTAATGCTATATTTTTTAGTGGAATTTCCTCTCTCTTGATCTTCCGTAAGTAATTCGAGGTCAGCACAGTAACAATGTCAACAACACCAGTAACGATGTCAAAAATAGCTGAAAATCAGCTTCGTCAACTACACATAGATTTGCCGAGCTAGAATGTTATCTGAATCAACACCATTTACGAGGTATATCAGAAGAGTTGTTTTCCTACAGTTTAGTGGCTGACCAGTTAATGCCAGTTAAAACTGTGAATAGCAAAGAAGTCTTAGCAGCACATGTCGGTACATGTCGAGATCAGATTTAATCTTTGAATAAGACGATATTTGATCAGCTTTCGACTAGACGATTTCTAATTCGAGAAAGATCACGCTCGCCGTGCGTGATTGAGTGATTGACTTCCGCTCTCTCTTGTAGGCTCTTTTGATTTTAGGACAAGTCAGTTATGGACACTGCTAAGTTGTTGAGAAAGCCAAGCGTATTTTCTATGAACTGAGTAAGACTATAAGCGAGCTAAATGTAGAAATCTGATATTGCATCTTTCAGTGAATTGCCGCTATTGTTGTGGCCATTACTCTTCTAAGTGATATTTATGACAAATGTCTAATTTCCTCTTACCCTGTTGACCTCGACTTTAGTATTGGTAAAATTCCCTTCTTGAGAATTTATAATTGAAGTTTCGTAGATGCAGGATAAACAGATTATATGAACCAATGAAGATTACTACTGAAAGCTGTTTATCGTAAACTCTTACCTTCTAATATACGCGAAAAGACATCCTTTGCAGTATCTTTGGCCACATCTCGTTTGAAAGGGCTCTCTAAGCGGTAAATGACATATCAGGCATTGGCAGTCTTGATCAATAGCGTCTACAAAGATGTCGTCATAGCCCAAAGGCAGGTGTTGCTCATTTACCACGGACTCTGCCATGTCAAGCTCCTCAAGCAGTATTGGTTTAAAGTATACGTAAATTTGACCATTCCATCTAAATTTGGATGTCACGCTGGCTTTTATTTTTTGCGACCAGGATTTAGATTTGCTCTCTACCTACTGTATAGAACCCGATAAACATAAAATTTTGGTTAATCAGCTCGCAGGTCTATGTCTAAGCATTTATCCAAACTTTTGGCTTCGCGGCTCAGTTGGTAGACGCGCCTAACTAGCTTCCTAGAGGTATAGGTTAGAATCCCGTCGAAGACTGAATTTTCGCTGGCTCTCTTTCTACAATTACTCATATTGCAGCTCACTCGAAAGAGTCATTTGTTTTTTCAAATTTCATACGCAGTTCAAAGTATGATTAATTTCTTTCAAATTTTCAACTTCTATGGCAAAGCTATATATTAAGCTCTCCTTAACTTTTTGGTGTAGGTAGATATCATCAGCCACTGAATGGGTTCGCATTTAATTGTTGGCGACCTCCTTGGTTTACATTCGTTACTAAAAGCTACCGTTCCTATCTGTCAGTTTAACCATGGCGTGGGATGACTTACAATGTGAGGCTTTGTCTTGGTGCACGATAATGCGTTACATGCGACCTGGTTTCTGTCTTAATTTTGTTTAAGTAAAAATAACAGACTGTAAATGATATTGAACCCTTATATGCATCGAAAAAGTTCCGCTCAGGTTATTACCAACGCTTCCGTCAATTTCTTATTTTGGTGTCACACAATATCAGCACTTTAAATGTATCTCCAATCAAGAGTCCAATATCCTGATCCTGCAGTTTCGTCTACCCACTACCCGGCTGACTTGCATTGCCCCTTTAAATTTCAATATTCAGCCTTCATGTGATTCTGACCTCCTGCGCGGTCAGTAACGCTTATTCCTCAACTCCTCTGTCTCAAGTACAAAACGAGATCTAAGACGGTTTTGCTTGAGCAGTCACACAATCCTAACTGCTTTATGCGTTTTTTAAACGTCAACGGGTTTGTTTTGTGTATTAGGGTTGGATGTATACTACTATAGAGTAACGCATGCACAGACTAAGTACTCTACACAACTGCTTTATTAGAATGCTAATGAACTTAATATACAATGATAAATATATGAATAATCACGTGACTACGGTTAAGGTGTGCTATCCAATAGAACCCAGATTATGTAATAACTAAGGTATCTATCCAATAGGAATAAACACTACAGTTTGCATATTTAATTTTGAGTGACAAGATAAGGTGTTCACTCTTGATTCATCTGTCCAAATGGCGGAAGCTCCAGGAAATGAAAACCCTTTGGGTTATGACGAGGACTTTGTGAATAGAGTCGAAGACGATTTCCTTTGTGAAATTTGCCATCTGCCACTTAGGGACCCACTTCAAGCGAAATGCGGTCACAGATTCTGTAAGGGGTGTCTTGAGGAACATTTTAGAAGGTGTGTCATCTTTTACGTGAATTTCGCTCGCTGGTTCATAATAATATCCGCTGTGCGTTGATCGCCAACAGGCTAAAACTGATCACGGTCGTTCAGTTCGACATTTGATTACATGGATAATCACTTATACTCAGCTAATCGAAAAAACCTGAAAACTAGCTATACAGTTTTGGGGCAGTCTGAATAATTTGTCAAACACAAATTTATATAAACGAGGAATGTTTATTCTGAGAGCCGATGTGAACACCAACACTAATACGGCTTTTTGTCGACTTTGAAAGCATCAGTTTCTATAGTTTCTCCCTTATATATTGTTGTTGGCTGCATTTTGAGGTAACCTCGCTATTGCTGTTGACAGTATGATCGACTTTTCGAGTCATCGGCCCTGTGAACAATACAAGATTTCCGAGACTGAATGCGAAAATTATGTCATGCAGGGTTTTCCCGTAACACCTGTCACGGGTGTCACTGGTAAGTGCAACGGCTGTCAAAGCGCGTCGACTAGTAAATCAACGCCTTTCAAATGCAATTAAAAGAACGCCTTTGTGCAGAGATAATTGAGTTTAGTATTGAATGTTAGTCGGTTTTAGTTCTCGAAACGAACAGCCTGTCAGCGAACAATCGCTATGTTTCATAACTTCTCTGCAACGTTGTAGATTCTAGCCCAGGCCTATCCAATTATCCAATTAAGATGTCGTCTTCCCACATGCTAATACACGACCGCTGCGATTTGAATTGGGACTCTACGGGCCTTAAGATACGTAGCCTTAGCTTCGGCTATGTACTTAGCTGTTACGCATGGAGGTGGTACAGGAACGGGTGTACAAAATTCTATTGAGAACTCTGTTATGTGAAAATTCTGTAACGTGCCCTTTCATGTAGGTTATATAACCGCTATCATTGCAATAGCAATACGATTGATTGACGCATTATTGCACACATGGCAATAAATTTTTAAGTTTATGTTATGCAACGATGGAGACCTTTTGCAAAGCCTGGTTTCCACTTGATGGCTATGATCATTCCCAACCTCAACTCGAAAACACTTTATGGGCGTATTAGCTAAGGGCGAATTATACAATTACCTCGGTTTGTATATTGTGAGATTTAACGCCACTCGGTCTGTATATTATGCGATTTAAGAGCGTGTCTCTATAATTTCCGACCACTCGAAATTGGTTCAAAAATAAATCTTGCCTTAAACTTTGCATGTGGGTAAGGAAACCATTGCCTATCATCGGAACAGAAGTGGTTTCCCTCAGATTTCAAAAGGTTTTTATTTTTGAACAATTTTCCGCACGTGGGTCGAATCGTGAAATTGACATCATTTGTGTACACAAAATGAGCAATCTTTATGAGGATTTCACGCTGTCAAAAATGATTCAATGCAGGAGATGTTCGTGAATACAACAGTTTAATGCATCAACTTTCCAAGTGTGATCACAAAGGCAGAGTATCTTGATAAATGTAAACACTGTTGTCACGTCAAATATGCCACTACTCGAGTGGTACTTTTTAAATTGCGATTTCTCCGTACTGGGACAAAACTAGATATCAGGAGTTACACACACTCAAAAACCGTGCTTGAGAGCACCATATGCCGTAAAAATATCCATGGCTATTATCGCAGGAGAAAAATAAAGCGAAATGGAAATGTGAGATTTTCAGATACCTGTACAGCGCTTCTTTCGATAATTTGCATTCGTAATTATCCACGATGAATCACAAAATAATCGCAGATGAACAGCTCAGTGCACTTTCTAATCTTGTAATAAGTCAGGTTTTATTGTCCGAAGGTCCAAGGATTCCAAGGATTTCTTTCCGGGTGCGAGTCTGTAGGAATTTAGGTCATTCATTCTGAGTGACGATTCAACGGCACCTGGTATTTGTATTCTAACACTGTAACCCTGTCCATCTTCTAACTTTAAAGTTATGCTGAGAACAATATCCCCTAAAATACACAGTTCCATCCGAATTCAATTTGTAAACTGTTTCAAATTTGCCGGTCATTTGTAAGAACTCGAGTGACATTCATCATGACATTATTCTCTTTGATAAACAACCGTGTGGCCTCGATTGCATGAAATTCTAGACAGCCGCGAGCCGGTGGGGGAGGGGGAGGCAGTCATTGGAGAGGCTTTTCTCAAGGGAGGAGCGGCTAAAAGAAAGCCAGATTAAAAAGCTTGTTCTCCAGGCGTCCATTCGATAACATTCAACACCTCCAGAAGAAGAGGAGGCAGCGGGAATTGAATGGGAAGAATTTGAAGATGAAGTAGGGCTTCTAAACTCAATGAAGTAGAGCTTCTAAACGTATTGAATCATTTTTGACAGCGTGAGATCCTAATAAAGATTGCTCATTTTGTGTACGCAAATGACGTCAATTTCACGATTCGACCTACGTGCGGAAAATTGTTCAAAAATAAAAACCTTTTGAAATCTGAGGGAAACCACTTTTGTTCCGATGATAGGCAATGGTTTCCTTATCCACATGCAAAGTTTAAGGCAAGATTTATTTTTGAACCAATTTCGAGTGGTCGGAAATTACAGAGACACGCTCTTAAGAAGGGAGAACAACTTAGAATATAC